TAGACATTAGCCTTTACAAAAATGATATTTGTTCTTTTAAACGGTGCTCGTTTCATATATATTTGTGTTTTTTCAACAAAAAAGTCTTTCTCTTATACAGATTTTCAATTAAGGGGAAACCCCCCTCCCCCTTCCCCCATTCTCGGGTCAAAAAATTTTTTTGATTTAATTTGAATCTACACTACTTCAAGAATGTCCCTACAAAATTTCAAGTGAAAATCTCAAGAACTCTTGAAGATACAGCCGATTTATTGTGTCAGCACCAAGTGATGGCTAAAGGGCTTCTCAAACTTAAAACGTGTTTTTCTCTTTTGCGAATGGCGGGCACGATAAATCAAAAACTAATAACCCAATCGATTCCAAATTTTTACACGTTTCCAGTGAGAAGTTATCATTCCCGCCATCAAAAATAAGGACTTTTCTTTAATTACAAAAAACAACAACAACATTTTTTTTGTAAACTATTTTTCTTCTCTTTTAAATCTTTAAATATATATGTGCAAAGTTACAAACCTTAACAAGCATTGGCATTGATATACCAGCCCATTGAAAATCTTGAAAAATTAAAATCGAGAATGGGGGGGTTCCCTTAACCGGTTTTTCTTTTAAGCGAAGCAAAGTGTTTGAAAATTCATCCGAAATATTAGTTTAAAATGTTTAGTTTCAATTAACCGATTTTTTCGATAAACCGGCGTTCGCTTATCCGAATTCGACTGTACATATTTAATTTACGATAGTGAAAACACTTAGTGTCATTTAACATCTAAATATTTGAACTTAATGGTTACGTATGTAAATTCTTTGTAAATCAATAACAATGACTGTTCATTATATGGCCTCGGCTAAAAACAGTTTTAAATAACGACCCACGACGGCTGTATATTTCGGCTCGGTTAAAATCAATTTTAAAAATATGATCCACGACAGCTCATTATTTCGATTTGGTTACATATCACTTTTTTCACCAATTGTTACACTCACCTCTACTGCCTATATTCTTCGCTGGTATTTTCACTACGTAGTTTCGGAAAATTCCTGACAGGTTGGCCGCTCTGCACTCAATATAGGGTCAAGGTTAACGGGAGCATATTTACACCTTCATTAGAATTTAATTCGCAGCTATAGATTTTGGGCACAACTTTATTTATCCATTTTGTTCAATTTATCAACTAGTTACTAGGGTTATCAATATATTCAGCTATCTTAAAGTCAGTGAACTGAGCAGTGTAGTCGGACAGGGCCGACCATATGATACCCTACACAATTAAATGCAAATATTGTAATTTTACTCAAAAAGTCTTGGTTGATTTGATGCACTGAATATTACCGATTATTTTTATAATGAGAATATATTCTAGTAAACGATATTCTTTATACTGAAACCTTCTTGTGAACTTTCAATTGAAAAAACAGTTTCTAAACTAAGTCATTCTTGTAATAATCTAACGATGCCTTCTTTGTTAAAAAGATCTAAAAACGCCTAAGATGAAAAGATCTTTCCTACGTAGAAAGCCATCAAGTGGAAGTTCATCTCTAGGCTTCATTGATTCTAGAATAAGCCTTCCTCCTTTATGACAAAATATCTTCCAAATTTCTGTATTCTGTAGAGACCATGCCTGATGAAGTCTTCTATTGACACAAAACTTCATAATTCAGAAGATTAGCAGAGTTTTAAGACTTTCTACAAATTAAAAGGCTTTATAGAAGTCTGTTATAGAAAGTCAATTTCCTGAGGACTTCTATAGAACATATACCTACTATGGTTTTCTCTAGGAATAAGACGTACTAATGTGTCTTACAGAAAGAATATAACTTTCTATAGAAATAAAATCTACTGACAGAAAATCTTCCAGAGGTCTCCTATAGAGTGACTAGAACACATAAGTTCTTAATTAGCTCGTGTGGTATTCAATAGGGAGAAGGTCTTCTCGACATAGAACACGTATTTAAGGTCTTATAGAAAAGAAAACTAAAGGTCTAGAGACCTTCTTAACATACCTATTTTATGTATAGGTATGTTTTATATATAGGTATGTGTGTTTTTTGTAGGCATTTTAGAGATAAAAAATATCCTTACGTCTTTTACTGAGCAAAGTATTGTAGGGAGAGAAGACCTTCTAAGGACTAAAATGAAGAACACCTAAGATCTTGATTACAAAAATTACTTCTTGAGGTATTCCATACGGAGAAGGTCTTCTCGACATAGGGAATGTGTTATAGAAACGAATACTGAATGTCTAGAGACCTTCTTGACATAATATATGTACATAGCTATTTTAGGTATATATATTTTATACAAATAAGTCTTTATATAAATTTTCTGAACGTTCCAAGGCCCTGAAGACAAAAAGGCCCTTCAATGCACTTCACATGTATTATCTTTGTAGGTCTCCTGGTACTTCTTAACACAAAAATCCATTTTAAGGTCTTCTAGACAAACAGATCTTGGTCTAGACAACAACTGCAGGCCTTCTGGGCTTTGATGAAGTTTAAATTAAAATTCTTGAAGAAAAAATTCTTTCAATTGACACGTAAAATCTGTTCAGGTCTTATGGGTCTTCTAGACCAAAAAAAGTCCACCTGTAGGCGTTTTGAGTATGGATGACGTTCTGTAGACCACCGAAAACCTAGTGAGGTACTTTAGGCAAAGAAGTCCTTGTTTAGGTTTTCTGAACATACAGTTTGAAAAACACGAAAATATGTAGTTTGAAAATTACTTTAATTTTTGGTTGATGCCTGTACTAAATGCTGAAGGTAATGAATGACATCACTATTTAATTTTACGATATCTGAAGAAACTGAGAACAGCATTTATACCTCAGAAAACTTGTATATCGTAAACAGTCAACGGGCAGTTTATTTTCAATGGACTAAAAGCGAATTTACATATAACATTTAATCATGATTAAAGGCTTAATCAGGGCTTATTTTCTTAATCAGGCTAAATTTACCATGATTTACCACACAAATTTAAATCATCGTGCAGCAGGATTTATTTTTAATCATGATCGAAATCATGATACTACTGAGATGCATCGCGGGTTTTGTACGAAAAAATACAACTCTCTCACAATGTACCAAAACTTGCAACTGTTTTTACATGCTGACAACGGCTGACAAATACAAAAATGACAGATCAAAGGAAAATAAAAATTAATTATAGAATTTTTGTGTTTTTAGGTTTTTTTTTTTACTTTCCAAACTATCACAGTATTGCAAAAACATTTCCATTGTGGTAATTCTTCTATTCTTTTTCAAATTTCAAACAAATATTTTTGCCGCAAATTAATAATTTTGTATGTATACTAACAAACATCAGCTGATCGGCATTTAGATCATGATTAACCCTTTCAGTGTCATAAAAAGTTTTTGTAGGAATAAAAATCTAAAATTTTGTATTAAAAATCATATAAAGGCAAAGAGTTTAGAAAAAAATCAATTCTTATTTTAAACCTCGGACAGTTTTGTCTATCTTTCAGCCAAAATAAAAACATCAATTGTAACGGTACCTAGGATAACCGAAAAATCTCAAAGAAAGAGAGTAATTTTAAATGTCGAATATATTCGACAAAAACACTGAAAGGGTTAAGGGTACAGTATAAACTTGATAATCCGGACCTCGACAATCCGGATTATTCGGTAATCCGGACTGCATTTCACAACCCATTGCGTATCCTATAATCCGGATTGATTGACCTATTTGACTCAAAAATCCGGATTGTAAAGATACGTTACTTTTTATTTTAAGAAAAAATCGTTGCAAAATTTAATTGAAAATGGTACCTATTATATTCAAAGTTCATATTTTTGAAATGAATAATTTTCATTTTTAATAAAAACATAAAAATAATTAAATTATCACCAAATTAATATAAATTTAAACCAATTAATAAAACTCGATAATCCGGAAATCTCGGTAATCCGGATTGGGGTCTGCAATCAATTATCCGGATTAGCGAGTTTTTACTGTATGTGTAAACAATTAGGGTGTATTTCTGGATTTCGTTAATCGAGTCGATTTAAAATCGTATATGTAAATGTACTTAAACACTCGATAAAATAGAAACAAATTAAAAATAAAAAAATATTTTTCATGGACAATTAGGTAGTAGATTTTTAAAAAATATTTTTTTCATGGACCATCAAGGCGTGGATTTTTTAAAGATTATTTTTTCGTACACTATCAGAGTGTAGATTTATTTAAAGAATATTTTTTCATGGACCATTAAGGCGTTGATTTTTTAAAGATTATTTTTTCGTAGACTATCAGAGTGTAGATTTATTTAAAGAATATTTTTTCATGGACCATTAAGGCGTTGATTTTTTAAAGAATATTTTTTAATGGCCCGTTTTACAACCACTTAATGGAAATGTAATTTCATATTCTTTAAAAAGTTACCTATTTGTATACAACACACATCCTGTAATTAACGAAGATTTACCTTTAATTTATACAAACATTTACTAGATGTTTTAATATAAAAGAATTGCTTTATTAAAACACACTGCCTTCACAAGAAACTGAAACAGCAACACTGATTTGTTATTAGTCTTGCCAATCACATCCAACTGTGCCAACACTACCGCATTCATTGCCAACAGGTTGGCAACACTGCGGCGAACTGTCAAATAAACGGCATTGTAAAGCACGCCGATATTTTTGGCAGAGAGAAGTAAAAGCTGAATTATTCAAGAATTATTTCTAAAATAAAAAATCTAGAAACTAAGCAATACAACAAAACGGGTATTTGTTAAAATAACAAATAAACCGCAAAAACAAAATTACAAGAAATAAGCAAAACGAGGCAAGACAAGACACGAGTCGAAAATAACAATACAGCAGCTGCTGCGGTGGAAAAAAACTGCAACGCGAAATTAGAAACAGAATTAGCAAGCAACGATACGTTTCGCAGTTAGAAAAGCAACGGAGTAGCCACGACGCTTGGTGGAAAAGTACAGAACAGGAAGAAGGAAGTCCAAAGGAGTGAAAAAACAAAAAAAAAACTACGAAAATGCCTAGCGATACCATTGCCAAAGTAAATGTTGAACGGTTCCTGTAGTTAGAAAGAATTGCAAATTTTGCTTTCCCAATTCCCCCCATTATTATTTTTATTTATTGTTGTTGTTGTAGGATTTGACTAATTTGTTTCCTTTTCTATTCAATATATTTATTGTAGCAGGTCCAGGACTATAAAGATTCATTAATCAAAAAAGCCGAAAAATTAATCATCGAAGGTTTCCCGGAAAAAATCGTAGAACTCAATGACTTGCTCAGCACACCCATGTTCAGTGAGCGTAACTTCACTGAGGTCCATCAAGACTTGAACATTCCAATTCCCGATCCCATTTTGGTAAACAGCAATAATGGCTCGGATGATGCAGCTGCTGCCGGCGACAAGGCAGCCGATGGTGCTGGTGATGCGGATCAACCGGCTGCCAAAAGAGCCCGCACTGAACCACCAGCTGTTGTCGGTACTAAGGTTATGTATTTGCCAACTGGTTCAGTGCCCTGCAATACACCGCTCTGTGAAATGATTAAGGTTGTCAAGCCCATTATTCGCAAATTGGTGGAGGATTGTAAGTAGAGATACATTTATTAGAGTTCCAAATTATTTTTAATTTTTATTGTTCATTCCAGCCAATCTCCTGAAAATGTGGATTTCATTTATGATTCCCAAAATAGAGGATGGCAACAATTTCGGTGTTTCCATTCAAGAAGACACTTTGGCTGAAATCCAAACTGTCGAATCGGAGGCTGCCGCATTCTTTGATCAAATTTCCCGCTATTTCTTGTCGAGAGCTAAGGTGGTATCGAAGGTCGCCAAATATCCACACATCGATGATTACAGACGTGCCGTGGTAGAGCTGGACGAAAAGGAATATCTTAGCCTGTGGTTGGTGGTTTGTGAAGTTAGAAATCGTTATTCCTCGCTGCACGACATTGTCATTAAGAATATGGAAAAACTTAAGAAACCACGTTCCTCAAATGCCGAAAGTCTTTACTAAACCGAAACGAAATAAAAAACAACAACGAACGACAAAATTTTGTTTGCTGTATAAAAAAAATCACACACACACCACCTACTCTTCCTTCCTCCCGCTCCTCAATTGCTCGATCGACAATTGTTTTTTATTACATTTTTTCTCATCTTAGGGAGATTGAAAAAAAGAAAACAATAATATACGGAACGTAGAGCTTCTTCTCTCTATCGAAAAAAAAGAATTACTCAATACAAAAGGAAACTTATTATAAAAAACATAGTTTTCTATATTGGAAAACTTGAACGTTTATCCCAAAATTTGAATTTGATTGCAACAATCATATTCATAATATTATTATTATTATTATCCAATATTTTTTTTATTCCGATGTTTTGTTTATACAGTATCTCTAAATAGTTATTTTATTTGACGATTTTGTTTAAATTAAAGAGTAAAAGAAAGAACATGAAAGAAAAAACCCTGAAACAAGAAAATCATTTAAAAATGTACTACGACAGACCAATCAACAACCACACATGAAAAAAATCATCTTTAAAATACAAAAACTTATACCAATAATAATTTCACAATATTGTTTAATGGTGATGGTGGGGGGATATGGATTTTGATTAGAGCAAGCATGTTATGCTGCCTACTATGTTGTACCTCAACATAGCAGCATTAACATAAATAGATATGTATGTTAAATATTGGAACTGAAGAATGTAAACATGGAATGTTAGTTTCAATATGGATGACTAGATAGATGATCTATTAAACAGAAACATGTTATTTATATTTTGTATTTTAAATAATTACAATTTTAAAGGCGTTGCTCTGTTCCCGTGCTTTAAAAGAGGTACCTTTAGAAACTAAAAGAGAAAATCGTACATAAATTATTTCAAAGCCATGAACTTCGCATACATTTATCTGAAAATTAAAAAAAAACAGCTAAAACCAAAATTTCCATCGGAAAATAACTAATTTCACATTTAGGACCTTATTTGAAATTAATTTCCCAACGCTCCTTTTATAATATAGCGCAAGGAATGATATGAAAAAATGTGGAAAAAAGGATCGATTTACAGGGGGTTATACCATGAACGTGGACCTATATCCGCAAGGCTTTGCAAGAAGTTTATTCAACCTCCTGGCAAGAAAAATATTTTTCTAAATTTTTCTAAAACTTGCGAAAATGCGATTAATACTAAACATTGTAGGACACTGGGTTTTTACTCAAAGGTGGACCAATATTTATAATTATTGGAAAACGTGACAATTTTTGGTGGAGATTTTCCACTTTATACAGTATCTAACATTTTTTTATTTGACGATTTTCTTTAATTTGAAGAATAAAATAAAGAAAACGAAACAAAACCGCTTTTGTTAGAAATGTGCCACTTAATCCGAACATAAAAAGCCATACCATAGCCAAATTGGCAAGAAAACCTGTCGAAATAATTCAAAAAATCGGAAAATTTGAAAATATATTGTTGCTATACCTAAAACTAGATCATTAGGGAAAAGTTTTTGGAAGAATGTTCCCTGCAGAAGTGAAAGGCAATATAGGACATATTCAATCCTGCCAGATACCAACATTGAGAAGTGCATTAATGGACCATTACACAGACATCATAAGCAACATTTTTGTGTATGTACGAAAGGACTGTATAATTCAGAGGAAGAGGTCCAGAGATACAAAAGGCAGACTCTAGATAAGTGGACCTATTGCACTATACGAAATAGCCACATTCCGCAGGAAATCTGCCTCACATGTAGTACTTATTCATGCTGCACCTTTTAACAATACGCCTTTTTATACCTTTCACCACTCTTTGGTACATGGTATAATGTCGTTGTGCATATGTTTGTAACAGGCAGAAGGAATTGAGGTCGACTTATGCATGTCCGTCTGTCTATGTATTTTTGTGTACAAAATACAGGTCGCACTTACGATCCGATTTGGATGAAATTTGGCATATGTCACTTATTTGGCCCAAGGACGAACCCTATTGAAATTGGAGAAAATCGGTTCAGATTCCCATTTATAGTTTTGCCCGATTTTATGTAAATGGTGCACCAAACTCCCAATATTGGTCCGATTGGGAAAAAATGTTGCACAAAGTACTGAAGTAGGTCTAGATTGATACTTTCCCAGTTTTGTTGAAATCGGTTCAGATTTAATTATAGCTCCCATATATAGCTTCGTCCTATTTTATGTAAATGGAGCACCATACTGCCAATATTGGTCCGATTGAGACACAATTTTGTACCGAGTACTGAGTTAGGTCCAGATTGATGTATGCGAAGTTTTGTTGGAACCGGTTCAGATTTAGATATATCTGCCATATATACTTTCGTAAATGGCGCACCGAGGAATCTATGTTTGTTTTATATTCACGAAATTTAAAATATAGCTCACAAATATACTTCAATCTTATATTATGTAAATGGTGCACCATAGATCCTGTTATATTTGCCCAATATTTTGTTGTTGAAATCGGTTCAGATGTAGATATAGCTCCCTCATATATTTTTGTCCGATGCAAATGGAAGAGCCTATGTCTGTTCGCTTTACATGAAATATTGCATAGCATATTGGATTGAAGGCGTTTCAGTTTTAGATATAACTTGCATATATATTTCATCAAAATGATATACCATGTAACTAAGGTTTGTCCGCTTAGGACGAATTAGTGCACAACGTACCAAATCGTGTATTGGATTTTGTGTCGAATACATTTTGGATGGCGTACTGTGTTACAGCATACGAAATGGTGGATGCCACGCTTGCTCAAATACGTCCATTTATATCTTTAATATTATAATCTTTTTAAATTAATTGATTCCAAAATAGCAGGATTCTGCTCAAAAATTAAAGGCATTCCCATTTACGCGATCCCTTTCAAATTAAAAATCCTAAATAGACGTCCCTCGGCCGGTGATTTAAAACTTTCCACTATGGAGAAGTGGAATAGTTGGCTATAGGATACATTTTTAGATTTACTCCTATGAAAGGTGGGAAAATGCGGCTAAGCGTTAAAAAAATCTTTTTAAGCAGCGTGTTTGGGTTATGGCCGCGAATCTTCTTAAAGCCAAAAGAGTCCTAATAACAACAATATACGGAATTTGAAGACCCATATTTCAAGACACATGAACTTATATTCTATAAAATAGTTAAATTTTTGTTAGAGGATTTGAACCGCTTTAAATTGATACCCATATTGCCGTAGAAATTTGGAAGTCCATATCTCCGGAAAAAAGAAATTCGTCAAGTCCACAGTCTGTAGGGCTACTTATGGTAAATATTTCAAAGCTACCTGCGGCCGGGCCTTAGACTAGACTTAATCCAAATTCGAGGTGAACCACTTTAAATTGATTCCCATATTGCCGTAGAAATTTGGAAGTCCATATCTCCGGAAAAAAAATTCGTCAAGTCCACAGTCTGTAGGACTACTTGTAGTAAATATTTTAAAGCTACCTGCGGCCGGGCCTTAAACTAGACTTAATCCAAATTCGAGGTGAACCACTTTAAATTGATACCCATATTGCCGTAGAAATTTAGAAGTCCATATCTCCGGAAAAAAAGAAATTCTTCAAGTCCACAGTCTGTAGGACCACTCATGGTAAATATTTCAAAGCTATCCGCGGCCGGGCCTTAGACTAGACTTAATCCAAATTCGAGATGAGTCCCCAATCTCATATAAGCCTTCAATTGATATACAATATTAATCGGCTAATTTTTAGTATTTGCTGTTTATGGAACCTAGTTGGGGATGTGATGGCATGCCTTGATTTGTCTATTCTTTGACAACAGGTGGACCCTTTTTGGATTATTATATATGATGAAATTATATAATTAAGACACATTTAAGAATTAGGACGCTGTTTTATGAAGTGTACTTACTTGGAAGGGATACTCAGCACCAGTAGTTGTTTGCCCATTGATTTGTTGTTGTTATTTTGAAATACAATTTAGAATGCCATCAAAAAAATATTTACAAATGTCAACTCATGGCAAATATGGGATGTTTCGGGAAGCACGACTATTATTTTTAATAAACACTCACTTATTTCACTAAAAAACGCAACCCAATTTATTTTTTAAATATTAAAACGCGAATGAAACACCCCCCAATTCGTTATGTTAAATTTAACAAACTTTTTTGGGAAAAAATACAAAAATTGTCAACAATTCTCACATACAGAGTTGTATTTCTTTGCTCGGTGATTACCAAATACAGTACTCGCAAGTAATTGATTAGTCATTGTAATGCAAGCAGTCGTTAGTCGGCAGTCACTTGTTGCTCCCCTTTAAAATAGTATTTCGCGTAAATTTTATAAGAAATTGTGATTCGTTTTTAGTTTTTCTACTTAATTATAAAAATAAATAGAGTAATTTTTCTTAAAGTGTATAAAAGTAATTAAAAAATAATGTCAGAAAAGTGATTTGTATGGAATTTGTGTGTTTCATTTCGTTGCAAAGGATTTTTGCCCATCATGATTTGGCGTTGTTGCGTGTGTGTATGTGTGTGAGGGTATGTCGTTTTGTTGGTACGTGAAACGGTTTGTTCAATTTTGCTCCAAAGTCGTAGTAAAGCTTGTATTTTTGCGCCAAAAATGTAATTTTCTTGTAAAAAAGGTGTTAATACGTCAAAAATTAATAAAATAGTGTCGGAAAAATAATTTATATGAAATGTCTTCGATTTGTGTTCTAAATAAAGGTTTATCGCGAAATAAAATATAGTGTGTTTTGTTTTTGTTGGAAAACAAAGAGATTGGATTTTGGTTGGTGGAGATGACAAAAAGTGCAGGGGCTGTATGTGTGCCAAAATTGCAAAATTAACACATCAATCAAAATTTGGACTATTTCCAATACTCGAATGACGCTGTTGGAGCCAGTGAGAATGATAATGGGTAAGTGTTTTTTTGTGATATTAAATTTGTAATCTTTAAATAACCCTTATGAAATCTATTTGCAGATGACTGTTTCCGTTCTGAGGGGTAAGTTCATTTTATATAATTCATTGGCTTTAGTTAA